ATGAAGCATAGCATATTAATGGATAATTGAAATTAGGGAGTGCTGAATTTTTTTGATAGCAGGTTGACTTAAACTAAATACCAAGATTTTCTGTATAAACTTTCCTTGTATTACTATTATATGGATATATGGATGGAACGGAGCAAGCTCTGAGTTTCTTGCCGATTGTTCTCAGTGGTGAAACTACATTACGAATTGTTGGTAAAATGATGATGGTCTTCGACCGCCCGTGTGACATAATTTAATAAAATTGATTTAGGTATACCAATCCAATGATATTTTTTGTAAAATAAATTATTTGAATATGCCTTACCTATTACGTAAAGAATTAAACTGACAAACGGTCGGCATCTTAAGCTGAACCAATTATCGAATTTAAACGAGATAAAAATAATTGTAGTCCAGTTTTACTTGGTATATAGGTACGTAGGTGCCCAAGGTAAAAGATACACACGGGCACAGCCGCATAAATTGGCCCGATCGTGATGCAGTAGGTACCTCGTTGAATATGTATAGACACTCCCTTCCGTAATTCTCATTTTACTAATACATTTCTATTTGATTAAATGTGTATCCGTTTTAGTCATACGACTTTTAATTTTTAACATTTTCACAAATTCAGAATGTTCATAAATACATTCGGTTATTTTCAATACCAGAAGCACATATTTGAATGATTGTGATATCTTTCGTCGTAAATAACGAAATGAAAAATAAAATTTTATGAGTATTTCTTTACAAGTAAAATAAAATAAACATTAAAAAAATTCATTTCTGTTTGAATCAGCAAGCAACATTTCATGATGCACTAGATATTATGTAGTGAAGTGAGCAGATGAATTCACGGCCAAATACGACATCAACACGGTCTCACGACGAATATTTAAAATATTAATTAAGAACTCGATCGGGAGCATAAACGACACTATACAAGTCGCTAAGTCAGAGTCACCCTTACCGGTATTTTGGATAGAATATTATAACAAGCTAACATTTTTAGATCTCTAAATCTCGAATTGTTATTACATTTCATGAAATATCCAATAAACAACAAAGTCCCTAAGTGATATTCAATTAAGTGATTCACGATAAAGGAAACGAAATGAAATGTCACTTTTAAATTATATACACTTAGTTGTATTTACGGGCTGTAAACATTTGGTATTTGACGTCGTTTTATATCGTACATTGACGTATGAGATATTTATAATGGCTTTATTAAGACGAGCCATCGGTGGAGCTCACGCCCGCTTATTATTATAATTTAGACGATTGCCTAAAGCGGCCACCGTTGAATGAAGTCATCAAAATGTTTCTTGAAAATCCAGTTTTGCTTTTTGCGATATTCATTTGCCCAATTTTTTTATTTCGCGACTGTTGCTAGTGTACTTTGAAATGATTAATAATGTATTTAAAAAAGTAAAAAATAAATTTATCGATTTAAAATACATAAAATCCCAATATCTGATATAAGATATGATAAGCGACAGTTAACAAATCATAGACGTATTTGTTATGCAAAAATGCAAGAAGATTCCGTGACGTTACGCCATGCCACGGTGGGACCCCTTCATGTTTATAATCTGTTTATACTTTTTGCCGAGCCGGTCTACACGTGAGCTTGCCTCTTTAAGCTGTATAATGAGGTGAAAATTAGAATATAAATAGACTCACTTTTATTTATGATAGGAGCTCACATCAAAATTTCAAAGTTAACGAGCATTATAACTGATAAAAATAAACTAAATAAAATTACGAAACTTAACTAACAAACCGTTTCGCATTAAACAACTTTCGGAAAGAGCTGCTAATCTCCCTAATGGTAATATTTAAGAATGCCTTACTTCATTTGAGGCATTAAAAGTTTCTGAGCCTTAACTGCGGCAACTCTTACCTCTCATTGTTCATTCAGGGTGCGTATATTGGACTTGAAATTTGTAGGCGGCGCTGAAAAAGTGTCAATTCATCATAGTAAAGCCTCGGGCTCGAGACCGAAGTCCCCCGCATAAATCTCACTTCCATACTTTCGCGTGGGGAAAACGGCTGCTTTATGAGATCCTTAAAGGCTGTATGGATTTGGGAAAATATTTCCTCTGCGTGCTGGCCCCCGACAAATGAAGGAGCATTGGGCACATTAGAATGTGTGAAAGGGCCTGTACGCGTTTTATTGTTATACGAAGCAATTCGTTTAAAAGCTAGTGCGTTGCGGTAGTACATACGTATAGCCTTTTTGATAATATTTATTAAGCTAAAGTACCTTAAGGGTACCAGAAAAAACTGACTTAATGTTAATGTGCGTTCATAAATTTTCCGTGAATCACTAAAAGGATTAGGTGCTTTTATTTAATGGTATCAGTTTGTTTAAGTACCTACATAATATTTTCCAGTTAATTGTTTAATATCGCGATTCGTGTTTCAGAAGAAGATTCGAGATTTTAGATTCGTCATTCTAATTCAGTTTACATATATTTGCTAAAAAGCTACAAATACCCAGATTACATTACCTATAATTTCTCTAAGAAAATAGCTCTTATCTATGGTGATGGTATTTGGTATGCGTGAGCGATAAGTGTCCGCCCAGTGCTGTCGCTTCTAGTAAACGCGACTGAAATGTTTTATTTGCGTCCACTGTTCACCTCATTAGAACACGTTTCCTCCCCTTTGCATTCTAGCGCTCGTTTATTTAGACTTCGCGACATTTCCATTGCACCAAGGAAAATAGATGTTTTAGAAGAGCTACTACGAACATTTTAGATTATCCTCGGATAAACTTTATTGTGTGCTAATACACCTCCGCTACCCAGTAGGGTATTGAAACAACGATATGCCAACAGTTTAATTTACATACTCGACGTAAATACGAATAAAGCATGGCGGAATATTAAAATATAACGCGAGAACAAAATTTTAGCGAGTACAATCGGGTACCGCGAAAGGTGCACCGATAAATTTGGACTCTCTGGAGATAAATGAGAAGGCGATGTGATTTAATTTGAATTAATTATAAGAATTGCAGAACTAGTTCACGAAAATCTATAGATTTATTTTAAAACAAGCCTTTTCTGGATAGAGAGTTCAATAAACTCAGGAAAGCGACTTCGCGACGGAATCGACCAGAATTTATGTGACTAAATAACGCATACAGGTGTCGAGGACGCGGGCGCCCCTTCAAATAGCCACGGATCGGAAACTAAATAGGCTAGGCGCTCTTTAAGCTCAGTTGTTGAAGTGTTAGACACGAACGATGTGCCGATAGTCCTCCGTGCACATTTCCAATTACGATTTATTCATTCTGTATAAGGGCACCGATAATGACGTACCGCACACAGTCCTTTTCTCGCACAATCGAAATCCAATTATTTCTGAAAATAACTAAGATACAGATTGAGACTGTACCAGAAGAGAAGCCCGTAAATCGAAACTGGATATTTACAGCGCGTTCGGAATATGAATTATTCTCGTTGATTGTTCTTACGGCTGCGTCATGGTTCATACATGAAGAGCGAACTAGTTTTTTGAGGTTTCAAAAAACCCTGATTGTAATGCTGTGTTGTTGAAAATCGTTTTTACGAGAAGCTTCTTGAAATACATAATATCGTTGAGCATTTATAATTTTATAAAGAAAATTTATGTTGGGTTATATTATTTTCCGGAGAAATAGCGGCATGGAGTGCCGAGAGCTACGAAGTAACTAAAATTTGTTGAGGCGAATTTTTCAAAAGCGTTTTTATCAATCGCTGGTTAGTAATTGGCGGAGCATTTTTTGAGTCGGTCAGCCATAATTGACGGTGCTATCATTCTGTAGTTTTCGTTCGGATATTCGAGGAAATTTTTAATTGGTCCACCTTTTGTGACGTTTAATAATGCCGCCTCGATAACATGGCCAATTATTAGCAGGTCGTTTTGCTTAATTATCTGTTTGATGAAGTTCAAGCATACCTGAATCTTGTACTGCCTTTTAGTTTTGGAAATGAAAGTAAAATATGTATTTTTGTTGGGTTTATTTTTTAAAAGGATATTTTGTTTTCATTATGATTTAACTAATTAATTGGGTATTAAAATAAATGATTGAGAGGTTTAATGGGTTTTTCGTTACATAGGCAGGTAAATGAGCTGATAGTCCATCTGATTAGAACTCACCTTGAGACATTGAAGAAGTAATGTAAAAGTCTCAACTCAATTAGCAATCCACCATCGGATATTGCAGTTTTGAAAGTAAATATTGCAAAGTTTAATTTTTGTTCCACAACGTTTTTCTTCATCGTGGATGTAATTCTTTAACACTTCTTAAACAGGTAAGTATTTCCTTGATTTGGACACCAACATAGATGCATTGCGTTGGTAAAAGTACATCGAGAATCTTATTCCTTAGTTCCGCGACGACCACTTTTTTTTACTATGTCGGTGTCACATTTTCAAGACAAAAATTACAAGTCTAATTTTTTTTTGTTTCTGTCAGTTAGAAAGTTTGGTGCGTTTGTATAAATGCTCGTTGCGATAGACTACACTAACAATGAAATTTTATTACAAAATAAACGGGTCTAAAGCATATTATACGTAGTTTCCGATACGGGAGGTGGAAGTATAAAAATAAAAACAACGTTATTACAGCTAAGTACCATTACCCTGCCTATTTCTGCCATGAAGTAGTATTGAAGAGTGGGGCAGCCGTCACACTGTAAAAAAAAGTGAGACTTTAGAACTCATATCTAAAGGTTGTTGGCGACATTTACGTTGTTGATGTCTGTGGGCTTCGGAAACTCCTTTACACCAGATGGGCCGTGAGATTTTACACCCATCTAAGAAATAAAAAAAATACGTACAACCGCTAAAGTGAGTTCTAATTTCAGGCGATCATTTTTAAACAGCTTAGAAATGAATGCAATATTGAAAATAAAAATATACTGTAATGTATACGATAAGAACGAAATTCAAAACGGACGATCCATTATATTTCTTGTTCATTTGTGATCAACGTTTTGAAGGTGACCGAATATATAATGGACGGTAAAACCTTAAATTCGTTGAATACGCAGGGCAGACTGCCACGCCGAAATCATGCAGCGAAAAACTCCGCTTGCGATACTTATCAAGTGTTTGAAATGACACAACCGGATTCTGGTTCATTCGGTGCGTGCTTTTTCCGTACAGGAATAAAACTGACCAATTTCTCAATAAGAGAAGGGTGACCGGCGTGTCGTCACGTATGAAGGGCCCAGTATTTGGAGCGGTGCAGCAAAAACTATTCTGGGACCATTATTATGGCATTTTTGTCGTCTGACGGGGTTCGAGTAGTCGCGGCCATTATCGTGCGAGTGTGGTGGGGGGAGGTATGCGGTACCCCCTCCTTGGCTGCGCTGCGCCATCCATCTTCGATATGCACATAAAGCGAACCGGCCGCGTAACGGCAGACCCACATTCCCGCTGCTCTTAAATTTATTTATCTCTTTATTAATTCACATCTTGAATTTTAATGTTTCATCCGAAATTGTTTCTCTATAAAAACAGAATTAGCGATTGGTTGTCTAAAGACAAACTTTTAACCGACTTCAAATGAAACAGGAGGTCATCTTTTACAAACTTAGATTGTTTTCCATGACTTTGCTTTAAAATCACCTATCATTAAATATACAAAGTGAAACAATTTTTTTATATACACTACAACACCTTATATTAATTCAAATTGATCCGTTAATTCAAACAGGCACAATCTTGCATATCTAATGGGAATAGGTGTCGTAATTGGTTAGCATAATTCGTAATAGCGTCTTTGTGGTAATTGATGCCGTATGTAGTTAATATAATGATCAATAAATCGCTCTATACATTCCGATCGTTTGAATTGATTTTATTGCGTAAGAATATGCTTTTTTTCTTGTTGAAATCCAAAACCTTTACATTTCTAAAAATAAGAAATTGTGTTGATATTGATATGTACATGTATCCATTATTTATTTAGAAAGAGATACAAACTAATTAACGTTCGCCGAGAAACTTTCTGGATACCTGCCAAATAAAGTATGACACACGGTAGTTCATATATTTCCCCCTTGTTCATTCTAAGTCTTATAGCCTGATAAGGGGACTAGTAGATCTTTTTAAACTGGATGGCGCTTAATTGCGTGTCCAATGCTCTCCACTCATAATATGAACTTTATTAGGTGGAAAGGTTTACTTCGCTAATAAACTAGTAAATACTAACCTTTATTATTACATTATCAAGGAAGAACGACGTCTCGAAATGAGTATATTTTTAGAGTCAAAAATATACGGGGAAAGGTCAGACAAAATATCGACTTAAGTCGACGAAATGTATATGAAAAATTTCGATGCCAATAAAATTTACATCACCGAATAATTTTATACCAATAAAAATTCTCAGTTGATCCCCATCGAAATATTTTGGAATCGTTTTCATCATATATTTTTTACACGATTCGATTCAATTGATTTCTTAATCGAAATCGATAATTCATGGACCATGCTTAGCTCAATGAGGCTTGGCATAGTTTATATGTTATTGTCGTGACGAGACAGTCGTAAATGTCTACATTAGTTGGATATCGTTGTTGATGGTCCATTTACACGTATTTACTTCCATATTAATCATAGTGTTGGGGTGCTGTACTTGTATTCAAAATACAGCAACGTTTGATACTAAAATCGAATTTTATACATTGTATTTAAAAGAACGGATAGACAAAAGACTTGTGTCAAAGAATATGCAAATTTAATTCCCTAGAGCTATTGCAGCATTTCTTCTTTGACGTCGTTCGTAATTTAAAATGCAAATAGTTGTTGAGAATCTTTCTTTTTCTTTGTCTATGTGAAAGGTTCTATACAAGTAATACGGTTAAGAAACTCTGTCCCCGTCGTCCCCGGCATTGTTCACTAACAAGGCGGTCTAACCGCGCCCCGGCACGACAGCCAATCTCAAAGCATAAGTATAAAGTCGAGTAGCTTACTTTGTTTGGAATATCTAATTAATGAAATTCTTTTTGTACTTTTTCATACACGCACGCCGCCTACGGAATGTTTGAGTTATGGCACTTTTACATTTTCCGAAAGAAAGAAATTGTTTCTTTAAGAATTGTAAATTTTCATTTCGTCATTGTTGAGTATCCAAATTAGGGCTATTTTTCGAGCTACGATTTGATTTTAGATTACTTTACATGATTTTTGTGAAATCTGTAATTTAGTCTGCCATGTTGATACTTTACCATGTCTTTCGTGTACATCAACTGATCATTAGTACAGCTTATTAAATTTTAAAGTACCGAAATCTCCACTGCGAAACCAAATGACAACTGATGCAATTTTGCCAATGCCATACCTAACTATAAGGTCCTTTGAAATTCTCGATGTAACGGTAAACTTTCTTTCCAGATACAGTCCTGTGTTTATACAATAGATACAATATAGAATTTTAGAAAGCCGCCTCTTTGTTGCGCAACTCTCTATCCCTTTTATTTTTCGAACAAAAGTGCCGTAAGTTAAAAATATTTCGTTCATTTTTACGATCAACAAACTCAAACTTGAATAGCTTTTATGATATTTCATCGTTTCTTAAGTTGTGTTTTATTGTTTTATACATCATTTTTTAAAACAGATAACAAGACATTCATTATAGATAGCGTCAAACTAGTGCTTCTCAGCTACTTTTTAAGTTAATTTGTCGTTTTGCGGAAAAGATTAAGAATGAAAAATGTGCAAAATTTTTCATTACGTTTTAATCTTTGTAGACTTAAGTGCAAGTTTTTTTTTTTAACCTTGTAGTCATGAATTTTCTTTAGTAAAAAGGTACAGTTTTAAGATAATACCTACTACTTTAGATGCTTTTTTATTAATAAGTCAAAACAATATCGAATATTGTCACTTATGTTTGCAAAACAATATAACGCGTTCATATTATACAGATATAGTTTTCGGCACTCGTAAACTTTTCATGATTATCTTTTGTTAGTTGTTTACTTAACCCCAATTATTAAGCAGTAAGATAGAATAGATACCGGACATATAAACAGATAGGCATCTAGATGCGTAGTTACGTATTAAATTGTCGTACAACGACATTTACGAGCACATTGGCGCGCAGGGTGCAACATGCTAAGGCTATCAGTTACCCCGTCCGTGGCTAATTCACTGTGACAAATTAACACCGTTGAATTCGGACCCTCTATTCTGCATTATCAACATAGGATGTGTAATTGTAGCTGTAATTGGATGTGTACGATACTTCAAACTGTAACTATGGTGTACAACATATATTTTACGGTGTTAATGGGTACAAAGATCCAAGAAATAGCTTTCTTTAAACTTTTTTTGTTTAAACTTTTGTTGAACTTATTCGTTAAGTTTGTGGCATGCATGCATACGTTTGTAAGTCGTATTTTTTATATAAAAACTATCGCGTCGATATTAATTTTAATTTTATGTCAAAAATGTAAACGCTTCTTTAGTTCACTGTTCATGTCTAATTATAAACAGTAAAAGATATTTTTTTCAGTAACCAGTCATATCTATCTATGCAAATAGATAATAAAGTATCTAGATCTGTGTACATGTGCGTTGATTAAGTTTCCCAATTAATTTAATGAAAATCAAATCGCGATCGTCCATAAAACAAGTTCTCCAATTAAACCTAACTAAGAGAATAGACCCGTCCGTATAAAGCATTGCGATACAGCGCATTGTTAGTGTCTCTGACCTGCGCTAGCTTTAGTACAAACATAGCTTAGGGTTGACTAGTTTTATGAAAATCCTGGGAAAACGACTCTTTACTCACTTTAGGAACTAAAATATTGACTACCATTCTAAATAATTACTTGAAATGTGTAGTTTTTAAATCGACTTTACAAAGTTTATTCAGATTAAAGCTTAATCATAAAGATGGATTTTTTTAAAAATAAATTAGGGACAAATTCATTTTTACAAATTTTATATTATTGTATGCTACCCATCGAAAATATTGGTTAAAATTAAAGTTCAACAACCCTGTCCGGTTTGCATAGATATACAAAAGGACTCTACTTTGTCGTCTAAACCGGATGAAGTCTTAGCGTTGTCTGGATCTCAGCCACTTATAGATGGAACGAATGTCGTGACTCGTGACTTAACATGTTTGGGATTGTTAAAGACAACCAGAAAACTCACAGCAAAACACGAAGGCTTTGATGAGCACTTCGGGAATAGCTCAAACTACGTACATAAAGCGTTGCCAGTGATTCGTGACCTATGCTCTATGGATTTGGATTTCAAAATCGTGCTCTATAGATAAAAGCGTTTGTTTTGTTTTTTCTTGTTTCCTAACGGTTTGTCTGAAAGTTATCTACTTATAAATACGGTACCGTGATACTTAAAGAAGCATATTTGGAATGGCAAAAGATCTGTTCATTTTCAACTGAAAACCGTACTCGACAGCATTCGTTATACTACTGTTGATTGAAGTTAAATTCACTTTCGGACGTCACATTTATTTTTTAATTATCAATTACCGAAAATGTTGATTTCCTCATAATTACTGTGTTACAGTTTTGAAAAACAGTTTCAGATAGTATTAGTTAAAACAAAAAAAGTAAGCCCAGATTTAATAGAATACGTTACTCATATTTCATGTTCATTATAAAATAATATAATTATCTTTTGATCAAAAATAAACATGGAATGTACGATATTTTTGAGAAAAAATTTTTTTGTTAACTATTTCATAAAAATTGGTATACCTTAATAAAAAATATGAACAGCTTTCATCAATTTATGTATGAATTCAGCAAAAGCTGTAATACTAAACATGGCGGAGGTTAAAACGTACCGACTTGATTTAGTGCGCGGTTGAGTCCAATATTTCATTTCTGGTATTGTTTACAAGGCCCGCTGAATCATACAGCTCACTAGATAGACTTCATAAATATTATATCGTATTAGACCGGCCGGATAAATTGAAATTTATTTCATTCGGACTGAAAATTATTTCTGCTTTAAATTGTTTTCGATATAATTTCTTTCGTTATATACATCAACTGCAATAGCAAAATTAACTTTTTGACTTATTACAATTGCTTTCTAGAGTAGTTCATCATCCGGTCCACTCAAGGATATGTCTTTACCGTTACTCATACCAAAACCAAGCC